AAAAAAAAAAAAAAAAAAAAATTGCCATATATTGGGCACAATTCCAGACTCCGTGCTACTACTGTGAAATTTTTGAAAAACCCAGTAATACTTTGCCCGACCCAGGAATCGAACCAGAGACCCCTTGACCGGCAGTCGCACTTGCGACCACTCGGCCAATGAGGCAGTCTGCATGCAGCTATCAATAAACCTGAAACAAAAAAGTTAGTCATGAACTGTGTTCTGTAGAGGTAGAAACACAAATACCTACATGTTTATATTTTACATGCATATAATTATTATTTATACCTTGTTTTGATAAACCAAAGTTGGTAATGTACCTACCGTATTATCAGTATTAATACGTGATTCTAGTGTGTTTCGTTATTATGCCTTTTTAATTGTGATACACAAGGTCAAAGGTCAGAGGGCAATCATTAGTTTGCAGTTTCGATATCGGTTTCAATATTGTTTTTTGATTTATGTTCGTTTCTGTGGTGGAATGTGAACTGAAATTTTAATAAATGGGAGACGATATTGTATGTTTACTAAGTTTATTGTTTAATTTATTTAAGTTGCTCTGTGATATTATTTATTGATTCAAGATTCAGTTGATTTTCTGTTTAAACTGCTCGAACTATTTTGATGAATATAGATACCAACATAGACTTCATAGTTGGGACGGTGGCTGGGCAACTGGCTGTAGCGCAACGTGTAGCGGGTTCGATTCCCGTACGTAGCAACTATTCGTGTGATCCACAAATTGTTGTTTTGGGTCTACGTGTCATGTGTATGTGATATTGTATGTTTGTAAACGCACCCACGACACAGAAAAAAAAATCCAATCTGGGGAAAAGATACAAAAAAATATTAAATAAAAAATCACAAGTCAACAGCTTCTGATTAGCCTAAAAAGAAATACATAAAATAAACAGTTAATTAAAACAAATATACTATTATCAGGGCAAGCCCGAAACATAACTTCATATTATGCAAATACTTGTGCACTGCATTGAAAAATAACATTAAAATCGTTAATAATAAAGCCCATTTTCATTCTGAACACAGCTTTATTGCACAAATTTTTGATAGAACGCGTAACTCGATGTATACATGATTAGTTTTGTTTTAATGTAAACTATGTACATTTAAGTGCACGCGCACTTTTGTATACATAATACACACGAACTGTAGATAAGAAGTACTGCTAAAAATATTTACGTGAGATCTCATTTTATATTTAGTACGCGATTTATTGCAATGTTTTTGTTTTAACATGTTTGCTTGTGTTAGATGGCGCGGTTTTGAGACGAATTTAAATTTGATACTGGAAAAAGAGCATAGAAAGGAAAAGCATTTATTTGGCAAGTAGGCGCACACAAAAACAAAGATTATTTTAGTGAGTTTATATATATATAGTTGGTAGCTTTAAGTTTGCCCCATTGTAATTGCTAAGTTGATTTATGGTAATCTGTGGCAACCTCGTGAGGAGTGTATTTGTTAAATATATTATTTTACTCACTCGTATTATATTTAATATACTGCTGTTGGTTGTCCTTGATAGATAAATAAAAAAATAAAAAAAATTACAAGATACTTGTATAACACAAAATATTAATAAAAAACATAAAAGAGTAAAAAAAAAGAACAATAAACAACAAAGTATAACAAAATATGTACAATACAATAATAACAGAAAATAGATGTATATATAAAACACGATTTAAACTGTCAAACACCAAGCGGTCGCCGGTGACCGCAACCTATTGTTCTATAATTGTGTCTACAAAACCGGTACTCGACGAGTTAATAATAATATTCTTCCTCTTCCCGGGTCTCAGGGCGGGAGGATTGCGTTGTCTCTCCGACTCTCACGAGTGAAGTTGTAAGGCGTAATACAAAGTGCGCGTGCCCTGATACTGCCTAGTTTGGTATGTAAGCGAGCCAAAGCTACTGTCATTAACATTTGATCAGCTAGTGAGTAGTACACTGAGGTACCTCTTGTGCCCTATTTGTACGTCATAACTATGCGCTGTTAAACGAAGACAGGCTTCTCAGGTTTCCTATAATCCTCATGCTTGGCAGGTTTGGGGATCGTTCTCAGTTCACCGAAATTTTAGAGAATGCTGCTACCCGATCAGTCGTTGGTTACAGTTTTGGAACCAACCCCGAGTTTAACATAACATTGGTCATATTTTGTTGCCAATACCAGTGCGAGCCAAAGAAAACATTTTTCAGGGAAAACTTCAAAT